CCCCCCCCCCCCCCCAGGGCGTCCACACTCCTCTGCCCCACTGGATGGAGTCCTGGGCTACACCACACTGACTGGTCTCCAGGGTCTCCTCCAGATTCCATTGGCCTACTGGGGCAGCAGGTCCCCCAGGAGGTGTGCCCTCACCAAATAAATAGTCAATCTCGTTTAGCCAATAACATTTCAGAGTCGTTGGCCGAGTCGGCGGCCGCCTACACCAAGGCTACAGCGCGCAAGTGTCTGCTGGAGAAGGTGGAGGTCATCACCGGCGAGGAGGCGGAGAGCAATGTGCTGCAGGTGAGGCCCTGCGCTGCCCCTTGGCCCGCCACGCAGGCTGGCCCCTGGGAGGTGTGCCTGGTGCGCTGCTTCTGCAGTGGCCGCGTGTCGCAGCCAGGGCCCGCAGAGCCCTCCTGTCACCCAGAGTGAGCAGCTGCATCGCTTCTGCTTGAGTGTCCCACAGCCATCGTGAGGGGAAGCCGTGAGGAGCCAGCACTGGCCCTCCGCTCCCACGGCCCTGCTGTCCCTCACTCCGCGGAGATGTGGGTGCTTGGGGCGCCACGAGCACTGCTTTTCCCAGTCTGGCTTCTTTGTTTTTTTTTTTTTTTAATTTTATTTATTTATTTTTGCGTGTGTGTGTGTGTGTGGCCAGCTCAGCCCACCAGGGGGCGGGGCTGGCTGGCATGTGGTGCTGGGGATTGAACCGCGGTCCATTGTTTTTGCTAAACTTGTTCTAAGTAGGTGCTTTAGACCACTGAGCCATCTCACCAGCCCCTGGCTTCTTTGTTTTGACTTTCAGAGGAGGTTTTTTGTTTTTGCTATATTGGTTTGTTTTGAGACAGGGTCTTGCTATGCAGTTCAGGCTGGCCTTGAGCTCACTGTGTAGCTCAGGTTGGCCTCAAACTCACAGCGACCTTCCTGGCCTGACAGCTGGGCTTACAGGCATGCACCGACACACCCAGCATATTTGGGTTTTTGTTGTTGTTTTCAATAAGGTTTCAGTACATAGCCCAGACTAGCTTTCCATTTCTACCCCTGCCTCAGCCTCCCAAGTGCCAGGATTACAGCGGTGCACCATCACACTCTGCTTGTTGGCTAGCTTTCTCTCTATGGTGTTGGGAAGCACTGACACAGGAGAAAGTACACCTTTTTCCCAGGGTCACACAGTCCATTGTGTTTTTTTTTTGTTGTTGTTGTTGCATATTTAATAACTTGCTTGAAGGGTGATGCACATGTTGTGTGGTTCACTTGAAAGTGAACAGTTCTGGAGGTTTAGTGTATTTATAGACTGGGCACAGCTTTCACCATAGTCTAATACAGGATATGGGTTCCTTAAAAAGAAGTCCTGTCCCCATGAGCAGTCATCTGTATCTGTCCCCTGCCCTGCACTCCTGAGTCCACTTCTGTCTCTGGAGTTGCCTGTCCTGAGCAGTTCCTGTCTGTAGAGCCCACACTGTGTATCTGGCTGCGTCTGGCTGATAAGCATGTACCCTCAAGGTCCCTCTGTGCTATGGTGAATGTCACAGCCTTGCCTCTGTCTTGCCTGAGTGGTGTCCTAACGTAGGGATAGACCTTACTATGTGTCCTGCCTTGGCTGATACTTGGCCTACCATGGTTTTGGGGCCATCATGAAAGACACTTCTGTGGCTGATGTGCTTGTGTTGGTGTAGACATGTGGTATCCTTCCCCTGGGTTGATCCTGGGCCTTGTAGAAACCCCAAGTTTCACACCTTGAGGCTGCAAAGCTATGTGTGCCGTGCTGACCTCATGATGTCCCTCAGCAGCACGGAGCATCTCCCCTTCACGTGCCCTGACCTGTCTCTTTGGTCGTAGCCATCGCCCATGGGTACAAGTGGCATCTTGTCAGGGTTTTATCTGTTTCTGAATTGACTCTTTGCAGTGCTGCTTTTAAAATACATTGACCATGCCAGGTGTCACAGTGGTGCATGCCTGTAATCCCAGCTCTCAGGAGGCTAAGGCAGGAGGATCACCGCAAGTTTGAGGCCAGCCTGTAGTACATATCGAGACCTTGTCTCAAAAAAAAAAAAAAAAAAAAAAATCAAAAAATACACCGGCCAATCGGGCCGGGGATGTAGCTCAGCAGTGCAGCACTGCCTGGCAGGTATGAGGCTTTGAGTTTGAGTCACAGTACCAAAATATACACGGCTCATGGCTTACCAGAGCCCTGGGCTATAGTTTGCCAGCCCTGGGAGCCCAGGTGGGTAGATGGAGATGTGGGGCACAGTCCCCAGTAGTGGCTCACCTGCTGCGTGTGTTCTAGATCCAGTGTAAGCTGTTTGTCTTCGACAAGACCTCACAGTCATGGGTAGAGCGAGGCCGGGGACTACTCAGACTCAACGACATGGCATCAACTGAGGATGGGACACTACAGTCCCGGCTAGGTGAGCTGCCCTGCAGGGCCCCAGGGCTGGCTGGGTTGTGCAGAGAACAGATGGGAGGTGTGATGTGAACTAGAGCGCTAGCCCCATTCCCCACTCTGCAACAGCCATGCTTGCGACAGCCTCAGTGTAGAAGGCCCTTGGCGGCGGCGTTCTCACACTTGTAGCTGCAGTGGGAGTGGCAGTTTCACGGGAGAAAGGAAAGAGGGTGGCGCACTTCATGAAGGTCCCCATGAGGAGACAAGCTGCTGCAGTGATGGCCCTGTCGCCCTCCTGCCTGCGCCTCCTGTCCCAGGACCTTTTTTAAGGAAGTGGAGCTCTGCTACTGGTACTCCAGAGCATCTGCCAGTGCTTAGGTTTTCCGTTAAAACAGCAGTTGTCAGCCAGGGATGGTGACACTCACCTGTAACCCCAGCACTCACGAGGCTGAAGCAGGAGGATCACTGTAAGTTCAAGATTAGCCTGGGCTACAAAGTGAGCTCAAGGGCAGCATGAACTGCATAGTGAGACTCTGTCTCAAAGAGACAGAAAAAAAGTTATTTGTCTCTGAAAATTTCTACATTAATATCTATTAACAGTTAATGTGTTTACCTTTTTCTTTTCTGACATTTAGGTTGTCCCTTATTTTTTACTTATTTATACTACTATGAATAACAAGATTGGGGCCACCTTATGTACTTGGCACAGGGGCTCACCATGCAGCCCAGACTCGTGATCCTCCTGTCTTCAGCCTCCCCAGCACTGGGATTACAGGCGTGTGTCACCACAGCTGGCCTTGGGGGCCAGCTTGGTGCGCCGGGGGGCAGAGCTGGCACAGCATGTGGGATCGAGCCCTAGTTCCTGCACTTGGTTAAGCAGGTGCTTATTGAGGCCGTCTTTATATGTGAGACTTATTCCAGAAGTAGCCGTGTTACAAGCGTGAGTGCACACACACATGTGGAGAGCAGCCCAGGTGCGGGAGCCCGCATCCCCTTAGAAGCCTTTTCCACACTTCACCTCAGAAACATGCCTGGGTCTGCGTAGAGATGAAGACACACTCGGCCCCAGGCTGTCCACTGCTTCCCTTAGCCCTGTGAGCATCACGCATTTTTTTCCTTCCTACCCTTGCAAATATTCAAACCCTTTGAGCCTTTTGTGGTGACAGAGGTGTCCCAGCTGTCACCCATGTGTCCAGCCTACTGCAAGTGTCCTCCCCACCCTCCCTAGGTGTCACTAGGCTCCTGTCCCTTCATCCCTCAGCCTCTGAGGCAAACATTTGGACCAGGAATATGGGCATGGAAGGACCCGCTCATTGGGCCCTAAAGGAGTGACAACCCCTAACCCCGTCCAGGCCCCTTCTGGATGAGACAGCCCGGCCAGCAGGGAACAGCTCTCAGCCACACCCACGGGGTGGGCATGGGCGGGCACGTGGGCATCACACCCCAGGGGGCAAGGCTGTCCCTGTCCCTTGGGCAGCCCTGCTGTGTCTGTCTTGACAGCAGCTCTACTGCCAGGGGGTGGGGGCCACATGCTGGCCTGTGCCTAGGGTCAGTCAGCAGAGCAGGCCTGTGTGTGTGTCATCTGCAGGAACTCTGTCCTGGCACCTACTTGGTGGGCAGCTGGTCAGGGCTTTGAGGCAGGCAGGCCCCACCTTCTGCTGCCTGAGGCTGTCCAGATAGGGGGCAACAGGGCAGACCCAGCTGAGTAGTTTTCCTGGTTGCAGTGATGCGGACCCAGGGGAGCCTGCGGCTAATCCTCAACACCAAGCTGTGGGCCCAGATGCAGATTGACAAGGCCAGTGAGAAGAGCATCCGCATCACGGCCATGGACACTGAGGACCAGGGCGTGAAGGTCTTCCTAATCTCGGTGAGCCCAGTGCCCATGCAGTGGACCCAAAGGGAGGCCACGCTGTGTGTGCCATGAGCTACATGGGGCTCCTTGGCATGTGGGGCTTTGCTGTGCCCAGCCTCAAGCTTAGGTGCATTTAGCTGGCAGAGCAGGAGATGGGGGAGGATAGGCAGGGTCTGTCACCAGAGGATGTCGGCTAGGCTGTGGGAAGAAGGCAGGCACGAGGCCCTTGGTGCTTTGTCCCCACAAGACCCCTAGTAGGCTGGAGCAGTTGTAGGAAGGGGCCTCCAAGGAAAGCTTGGCGCCCCAACCTACAGATGAGCTCAGTCGCCCTCCAGGTGGAACCAGATCAGATAGGAAGGGGCCCCTCACTGTTGATCCACACCATAGGGCCCCTCAGAGGTCCCTACCCTGGGAGGAGTCTGTTTCCCCTCCTTGCTTGCTTCTTTCTCCAACTCAGAGAAGCAGGCATTGACTATGGTTGCTGGTGCATTCAAGGAAGACAGCCTTGTGTGTGGTCACACCTCCTCCCAAGTCACATGGAGGGGTGACAGTCATACCCAACACAGGCCTCTGCCTCCCTCCTCAAGCCGGGCCCACCTGTCCCAGCTCCCGGGATCCGCCCATCCTGCTAGGGGTGCTGGTGTCCCCTCCAGGGAAGTGAGCAGGCTGGCTGCAGTGGCAGGCAGAGTGGGCTCCTGCGCTGGCTTTCACAGCCCCTGTGCCCCCAGGCCAGCTCCAAGGACACTGGCCAGCTGTATGCAGCCCTGCACCACCGAATCCTGGCCCTGCGCAGCCGCGTGGAGCAGGAACAAGAGGCCCAGGCCCCTGTGCCTGAGCCCGGAGCCCCATCCAACGAGGAGGACAGCGATGATGACCTGCTGGCCCCCTCAGGAGCCCCCGGAGCCAGTGAGTAGCAGTCACTGCCCAAGGGCCCCGGGACAGCTGCGCATAGCACATTGGTGACCAAAATGTGTCCATTTCTCCCCACAGGTGCAGGTGAAGAGGGGGACAAGCAGGTGCCTGGGAGCACATAGCGGGCGGAAGTGCCACGCACAGAGGCTGCTGCTTTGGTGTCTGTGGCCGCCTACCCTCCTGCAGGCAGCGTCAGCTGGGGTGGAACCACAGCCTGGATCCCCACGCCCGTTCCAAAGCAGACTCGGGAGCTGCCTGGATGTGGCTTGGGACATGAGACCTCATCATATTGATGAGCAAAAACAAACGCTCCTCCCCACCCCAATCAAAATGGCACATTAAGACTTGTCACGGCTTCTAAGTGGGACTGGAGACCTCGTTTCTTCACCTGTGTGTCGAGCCTCTGGGCCTCCCCACCGCGTGCCCTCCCTCATGGGTCCCCACTGCACTCTGGGACTCCCTCTAGCGTCAATACTGGGCCCTGGACGCTGTTTACTACTCTCTTTGTTCCTGTTTCCCATCTTCTGACTTGGGGTTTATATTTTACAGATTTTTTTTTTTTTTAATGTCCAAAGGCTTTGGTTTTGGTTTCTTGGATTGTGATGCTCTAGTGTGCTGGGCAGGCACAGCCCTGGGCCACCACTCTGTCCACCCAGTTCCTCCAGGCTGAGTCGTGGGTGCTGAAGGCTTGGGCTGTCTTGGGCCTGGCCCTGGAGAGTGCTCCCGATGAAGATCACAGGACTTGGAAGGGCACCCAGGGGCCCTGCCAGCTCTTAAGTCACAGGATCCACCTGCTTCCTGCGTGTGTTGCTCTGACATTGACACCCCCAAACTGCTATGGGCCTGGGGCTACTATGAGAAGCAGAAAGACCTGCCCAGAGTGACAGGGCCCTGCCCCAAACAGCAGGACAATGGGCTCTCCCAGCATGCACGCATGGGAGTGGGCGCTAGCATCAGGCCCCGGGCCAGTGGAGAAGCTGAAGAGGAATGCCTCCTGACCAGGCCTCCTTGGGACGGCACAGGAAATGGCCCTGCCCCACCCTCTGGGAGCGAAGAAGGGGCCTTGTCTCCCAGCTGTTCTCCCCATACCCAGGGCCTGGATGTCTCTAGCAGCGACACTGGCATTGCCCACCCCCCAGCACACCTGGGCCTGGGAAGACACCAAAGGCTGCCCAGGAGATCCGGCCACACTTCTCTGCTTTCAGCCTTAGCCAACTAGTGACAAGTAAAACCAGACAATGCCCACGTGTTTTGGAACATTTATGTAAGATTGTCATATGAAATGTATTTGGGAACTACATTAAAACTTTTAACTAAAACCCTGGCCTCCTGCATGCCCCAGGGGCCTGAGGAAACCAAGACTGCCCAGGGCCATCTACACCTCCAGGGCTAGGGCATACCCCCATGAGCACCGCACCTGGCCAGGTGTCCCAGTGGATCTCCTCTGCCCAGACGTGCCCACCCACCTGACCTCCTGAGGAAGAGGTAGCTGGGAAAGGAGGGCAGTTTACTGTCCCTGGGTCCCTGAGCCTGTCCCACATTTGCTGGTGGCTCAGCCGCAGACCCACCCAGCTGGTTCTTCAGCCCTGCTGCCCACTGCCCAGCTCCACACAGTGTTCCCTCTGGGCTTCGCCTGGTGCCACCCAGCCAGGTGAGTGGGCTGGGGGGCTCCTGGGGATGCTGCTCAGAGTTGCCAGGCTCTGGTCACCATGGCCACGAACTCTTCATCTGTGTCCACGGAGGCGCTGAGCCCACAGTAGTAGTCCTGGAATTCTGCCAGGGTGACCTATGGGTACATGGGCTGTGAAGTGAGCTAGGTACCAGCGGCCTCTGGAGGAAGAGCCACTGCGTAGCCACTCACCTGCCCGTCCTTGTCATGGGCATCAAAGTTGTCGAGGAAGCGGCGTAGCACTTCCTCCTCTGTCCACTCCCCGCTGCGCACCTTGGGGTGGCTGCGGCCACTGTACACTCCACGGAGGTCATCCACAGTCACCACACCATCTCCACTGCGGTCCAGCTTGGCAAAGGCAGCTGCAATGATGGCCTGCCGGGCCTGAGACATGGGGGGCTGGGGACAGAAGCAGGGATGTCACCTCAGCAGGCACATCTCATCTCAGGGATAGGTTCCACCTCACTGACCAGGTCCCCACACACCCCAGTGACACCCGTACCCGCAATGCCCGTAAAAACTCCTCCAGGTCCAGTGTCCCACTGCCATCACGGTCCCAGAGCCTGCATACAGCCTCTGCCTCCACTGGCTCCAGTGCCAGCCCTAGCTCAGCTAGGCCTCGTTGCAGCTCCGCCGCATCTAGGGAGCTGCTCCCATCCTGGTCCAGATGACGGAAGAACCTGTGGGCAGGTGGACAGGCAGGCACACAATTGGATTGGGCTTGCAGACACAAGTCCCCAATGTGCAAGAAGGACCCCTCACCTGGCCAGGCCCTGAATGCCTGAAGGTCCTCGGGCCAGACACTGTGCCCGCAGCTTCTCCATGGTGGCCTCCACAGTGGCCATGCTGGGCCAGCTCAGGGTAGCTGAAGAATGAGTCACACAGAGGTCTCCCTTGGCCAGCCAGGCACGGAGCGTGTGTTGCCCAACCCCACAGGACCCCTGCCTGCTCAGCTGGCCTAAGTCTGTTACCTGGTCCTGCCAGCTCTGCCCCACGTAAGCTTTGCGTTTTGTTGTCAAGATGGTTGCCTAGGGAGGTGGCTCTGGAGACTGGGAGGGGCCCAGTTAACTCCCCCTGTGCTGAGAGAGACCTGTGTACTCCTCCCACCCACACAGCCCTGGGGTGGAGCCAGGTCCAGTAGGCTTTGTAGCCTAGGCGAAGGGGTGGTTACAGTGCTGCAGGGACAGCCACCTCCTGGAGACAGGGAGGCCTGTGCAGCTGCTGCGTGACCCAGGGCAGGTGCCTTTCCCTCTCTGTGCTTGGTGGGGCAGCCCAGAAGAGCTCCAGGCAGCTGGATCCTATTGCCCCCACAAGCCAAGCCCAGGCCCACACACAATGGGAGGGAAATTGTCAGATTCCATGAATGCCAAGCCAGGACCAGTCAGTTTCAAGACAGTAACATTACTGAGACAAAAGCTGTTTCTGGTAGATTTAAGAGCCAGTCACAGTATTCTTGTCATTACAGATCTTCTGCTGATTGCTTTCCAGCCCTCAAACGTCACTTGCTGCCAGGCTCAGTGAAGAAACAGCCCTGAACCCTGATGTAGCAGAGAGAAACCAAGGCCCGCATCACCGAAGGCCTTAGGCGGAAAGGCGGGGTATAGATGGTCTCCCAGGACGATGCGTGCAAGGCCTGTCTGGGAGAAGCCAGGGACACAGCCTTTGCAAATGTGTGGACTCCTGTCACATTCATTGTCAGAGGTTACCTTTGTATGCAAAGATCAGTCCAGAGATTATGAGAGCAGGCTCAATTCAATGGGGCCTGAGAAACACCAGTGACATTGCACTGCACGCATCACAGTGGCTCACGGTGACCCAAAGTTCTTGGAGCAGGCAGAGAAATCCTTCATCCTTTATTTTGGTTTCTTTGCAGTGCAGGGAGGGAACAGAAGGCCTCTGGGTGGCAGGCGAGGTGAGCACTTGCCCCAGAGGCAAGCAGGAAGTGGCACTGTGCTTTTACTTGTCTTTTTCTATGGAAAAATGTAAACTATGGCTATAAAGTGAGGCTCGTGGCAGAGCACTTCCCTACCATGTGTGGAGCTCTGATTTGATTCCCAGCATCACCAAGATGAAAAGAGTGAATAATATTAAAAAGTCACCACCTTTGTTGCTTCATTTGCACTACTGGGGATGAAACCCAGGGGCCTTCACACCAAGCTACTCCCCAGCCCTTTTGTGTATTTTTTGACCCAGGGTCTCACGAAGTTTCTGAGGCTGGACTCAGGCTAGTAATCTGCCCATCTCAGCCTCCATTGCTGGCATTACCACTGTGCACCTCCTGGCCAGACCCAGCTTTTAAAACTGAGGTGCTAGGCTGGGTGTGTGGCTCAGTGCTAAGTGCTTACCATGTGTAAAGGGCGGCATACCACACCCAGTTTGTAAAGAACAAATCAAAAACAAGTACAGCTGGGCATGGCACTCAGGAGGCTGGAGATCCCCAGTTCAATGCTGGGTTGTGCTACAAAGTGAGACTGTCTCAAAAAAAAAAAAAAAAAAAAAAAAAAAAGGGCTGGCCAGATAGCTCAGCAGACTAAGCACCTGCTTAGGCAGAGTGCAGCAGCCAGGTTCGATCCCCAGGGTGCCATGCCAGCCCTGCCCGTAGGGTGCACTGAGATAGCAACTGAGACTGGGCATGGTGGCATGTGCCTGTAATCCCAGTGCTTGGGAGGCTGAAAACAGGAGGATCACTACAGGTCCAATCTGTGTAGTGAGACCCTGTAGGCCCTGTACTAAATACATTAAAATTTTTTTTCAATAATTATGCCACACCCTGGTTCCGCCAAAAATAAAAATAAAAATAATTACACCACAAATCTGAAAGCAACCCAAATCCTCTAGACCTGGAGAATTATTTTGACCTCATTGGGCCTCAGTTTCCCCGGCTGTCAAGAGTGGTGGCTGCAACTACAAAGATGGTACACAACAGCATACATAGCCTGCCTGGCGCTGTCAACCTCATGTCTCCAGGGCTCAGCAGGGACCATAAACAACGCTGTCCATGCCCCAGGACAGAAGAACAAAGGACCCATGCCAAGAAAGTGTGGTTTATTCGCAAGCACAGACAGGCCCCAGCCAGCCTCCCCTCTGTTTCATGTGGAGGAGAAAATGGGACAGTTGTCGCTGCTCTAAGGGGTCACTGTTAGATGCCACTGGTGATGCCCGGTCCCGAGGGCTCGAGTGGCCACCACCCTTTCCGGCTGCAGGAGACACTGCCCCAGGCGGGTTGGGCCCCTGAACAGGCTGGGCATAGAGGCACAGGCATCTCTCTGTGCCTCACTTGATAAAAAGCAAAGCACCACCAATGTCTTGAGCCAGGAATGGCACCATATAAACAAGGAATTAAAAAATAGATTCTCTATAAAAACAGCTGCTTGCTACATGAAGACGGGCGCCCTGGAGGAAAGAGACCCCTGGCTTCTTTTGGGCCTACATCCTGTTCCTTCAGGGGCCCCCAGGGCATGTAAGGCACAGGTGAGAGGAAATAAGAGACAGAAATCTCTGCCTTGAAGGAGGTTATGTTCCAACGATGGGACAGTAAAAATTCCATAAAGAAAGTAAAGTAGATAGCGCTTCTCCGCCTTTTGGCTAAGATCAAGTAAAGAAAATAAAATGGGAGGGGTGGGGAAGAATTACATCAAGTAAAGTGCAGGCTGTCACCAGGAAAAGGTTAGGGGCTGCTTGCTTTTTCCTGAGCAGTCTGGTGGCCAGCTTCTCCTGCTGGCCTGATCTTTGGGGATTAAAGATTGCGGAGAATATTAGATTATTTAGATCTAGGATGGAAAGTGTATAACTAAAACAAAAAATGGCATGCGGCTTGAGGCTTCTTTTTTGGGTCTAGGATAAAAAAGAAAAAGCTTTTTCTTGTTTTCTTTTCTTTTCTTTTTTTAAAGAAAAAGCTTTAGCCCTGGGTTATGGGATAGCCTACCTTGAAGGAACAAGAATCAAAACAAGGACTGCATGGTGCTACATACACTCAGAGGCTGAGGCAGGAGGATCACTATGAGTTCAAGACCAGTCTGGGCTACAGGGTAATGTGAACTACACAACAAAACCCTGTCTCAATAAACAAAAAGACTTGCCAGAGTCCTGTAATCCCAGCACTCAGGAGGCTGAGGCAGGAGAATCATTGTGAGCTCAAGACCAGCCTAAACTGCATAGTGAGACTCTGTCTCATAAAGATTAAAAAAAAAAAAAAAAAATCAAAGCAAGAGGGATAAACAGGAGACAAGCTTGAATCCTGTGGAACTTGATGCCATCAGCCCTCACCAAATAAAGTTCTGATCAGATGCATCTGGTGCACAGAACCCTGCCCAGGGAGCAGTGAGGTATGCACAGCCTGGCTAAAGAAGGGGCCCAGGCTGGACTCAGAACAGGCAAAGCCAGCCAGGTCTCAAACCAGAATCCAGATTTGGCTTAGTACTGCCACCTTTTCAACAAAGGTAAGGGATTCAAAGTTTCGTTTTCTTTGTCACCTGTCTGAGCCAAACATCTGCATGTGGCCTGTTTGAAAAGTTGGCCCTTTTGCTCCTGCTGCTTGGCCAGGATCACGGCTCTGCCCAGGGTTGCCCCAGTGGATGGCAGCCACCAAGGCCCCATTGGCATCCGGTCTGCAGTCCATGCTCCAGGGCTCACACTGTGGTCCCAAACACCGCAGGCTGGAGGTGATCTTCCACCTCCTCTTCGTCATCCTCCACGGTGCTGTTGGTGAGGGGTGGGCCTGGCCCACCAGGAGACAGATGGCGTGGCACACTGTCCGGCAAGGGCCCTAGACGCTCAGCCTCAGCCAGGGTAGCCAGCAGTGCGGCCAAGGGTGGCCTCCGCTGACAAATGTCCTGCAGCAGCTTGGCTCGGGGCTGCAGCTGCCCAATGAGCTCATCTCTCTGGTGCACAGCAGCCTGCAGACTGTGGACAGCAGCCTCAGATGTCAGCAGTTGCTCCTGGAGAGCAGAGATCTCACTAGCAGGAAGACAAAACAGTGGTCACCACTTAGTGTACTAGGGGCCAGAAGGCTCTTCCCTGCTCCTGGCTTTCCCCGAGGCACCCATCACTGCAGAATAAAGTTCATGTTCCCACCGCTGCTTTAAGGCCACCCCTTGTTACAGGCTGCCTGTACCGCCCCCACATTTTTTTTTTTTTTCCGGAGTGGGGGATTGAACTTGTGCCCTTGTGCTCAACTGAGCTATCTTCCCAACCCCATCCACATTCCTATACAGAAGCCCTAACCTTCCCCTTCCCCCAGGAGATGGTATATGAAGAGGGAGCTTGTGGGAAGTAATCAACTGCAATAAGGGTAGTGTCCCCAGATGGGATCAGTGTCCTTTTTAAACAAAGCCTGGTGGGGAGGCTGAGACTGGAGGATTGCAAGTTAGAGGCCAGACTGAACAACTTAGTAAGACCGTGTCTCAAAATAAAAAGGGCTGTGGGTGTAGCTCATAGAACACATGCTAGTTAAGATACTTGCCAAACGTGTAAGGCCCTGGGTTCATTCCCTAGCAAAACAAGAGAAGGGGAAAGGGGAGGGAAAAAGAGAAGAGGGGAGAGAAAGGGGAGGGAAGGGGGAAAAAAAAAAACCTGGGCTGCAGCTCAGTGTAAAGGCCCTGGGTTCCATCCCTATTAAAAAAAAAAAAAAAAAAAAAAAGCCATCTGACCCAAATCAGAAAGAGATACAGTCCTAACTTGCTTTGCTGTGGCCTACTTAGAAATAAAAAAAAAAAAAAAAAAATTGGTGGGCCAGGCCTGGTGGTACACACGTCTATAATCCCAACACTCAGGAGACTGAGGCAGGAGGATCCTTGTGAGTTCTAGACCAGCCTGGGCTACAAGGTGAGCTCTAGGCAAGGCTGACCTGCATAGCAAGACCCTGCCTCAAAAAGACCAAAACATAAAAAATTGGTGGTATGATATCATCTTTCCCCGCTCGAGAACCTGCCATGCCTCCTAATACCTACGCTGTGGGGACCACTCAATACCAGCTAATTACTCGTTTTAAGTCAGAAATCCACACTTCGGTCCTTTCCTTCAACTTTACATATGCATGACTAATTAGCATTCGCGTGTGGTTTTGCCTTATACACGCGCGCAGCAGGCGCCTGCCCTTCCTCCCTTTCCAGTCTCGGCTCCGCCTTCTCCCACCTCCTGGACTGCACCTGGCCGCCCAGGCCTCACCGGTCCTTGGCGCGGCCCAGCTCGTCCAGGGCGGCGCGCAGCTGCTGGTCGTGGCGGGCCAGACGTTCGGCCTGGGCGCGCACTGTGCGCTCCGCCGCGTCCAGCCGAGCCTCCAGCTCCGCAGCGCGGCGGTGCACCGCCGCCAGGTGCGCGTTGGCCTCCCGGATCTGCAGGGCGGGCGGTGCGGACATGGCCCCCTCCGCGGTCTAGGCCCAGCCACGCCCCTGGGCCGCTCGGGACAGGCAAGGTCCCACCTCCGGGTTGGGTACGGGGCGCGAGGGCTCAGCCACATTGGTTGCAGTCCCTTCTACACCCCGCCCAAGGGCTGGGCTGTTCGCTCCTTGAAACTCCGCCCTAAACTCGGCCTAACTCCACGACTGGTCAGTATCTTGACAGACCACGCCCCCAGTTAGCCTTATATCCGGCAGCTAGTCCTGCACCGACTCTAGTAACAGGATTGGCCTTACAGAGAAACTGACACTAGGACTGGCCTGGACCTCTAGACCAAGCCTGACCACGCCCACTGAAACCTGCGGCTGTCCTCGTAGATCTACATCATCGGCTAAATTCCTATGAGGGTCAGTCCGAAGTCAAGCACCTTAGGCAAAGCTGCAGACCCCCGATTGGCCAAGTTCCTGTAAGATTCTGCCTTCGATTCTCACCATGCCCCTAAGCCAAGAGCCTACTTTGTCCGACTCTGGGCTTGGAGTTCGTCCGGCTAATATCCTAGCACTACGACTGGTCACTGAGCCATTAAAGCCTACCCCTGATTCTAGTCACACCCCAAAAATAGTAGCATGCGTTTCTAACTCAATTTTGGGAAAGGGCCAAAGCGTAAAATCACGCCCACCACATCCTTCCAGGTCCCGCCCCACGACGTTTCTCCCCTCCCCCAATCAACTAGAGTCTAGCTCGCGCCTTACCCTGCGCAGAAAGATAGGTCTGGTTGGCACCTGTGCGCCACCTTTGGTAATCAAATTATCCCTAACCTAAGCCTCCGAGCTGGGACTAGCGACACCTGTCCTCACTGATCGCGGCGAATCTCAGTTTCCCCTTCCAGGTATCAACCCAGGCAGGGGTGCACGAGTCTCCTTTCTCCAGGCCTTTCCTAGTGCCTGTGCGACCCGTGTCCTTTGTCTGTGGGCCTCAATAAAGTTGCGCGCTTGTTGTTGCCGGCCCGTCAGGCGGAGAGGCTGCGCACGCTGTCGCGGAAGTCTCGCGACAGTAGATGACGCGCTGCCCTTCGCAGTGAGGTACCTGCGGGGCCCGCCGTACGGGGTCCGGGTTGAGCCGCCATGGCAAAGAGGCTTCTCAGTCTATACACGGACATTCCGGACGGCACCGACTGCCACCGCAAGGCCTACGCTAGCACCACTATCGGCGGCACCGTCGGTGAGCGCCGGCCGGGTTTTGAGCGCCGAGGGCGCGGGGAGGTCGTCGGGTTCCTGGGGCCGGCACGGGCGGGTCACGGGGCGGAGAATGTCGCGAGGTCCCGCGTGGCCGTCATCGGCGTGTCTGGAAGGCCGGCCGCGGAGTCCCATGCGTGTGAGCCAGACGCCAGACCGCGGGAAGTCGAGCGTTGTGAGACAGGGCCAGCATCATGGTCCCCACGGGACCTTGCAATGGGGTGACCTTGCTATGGTGCCTTAGGGTCTAGACAGCTGAGAGTTTAGGGGTGCGAAGAGGTCCTTTTAGGGCCGAGCGGTGGTAGGTGGCCAGGGACATCTGAAGCTCTTACTTTGCCCACCAGAAGTGTCCTTGATTAGGTGACTCAGAATCTCCTAGGATACCCTGTGGAGAGGGGGTTGTAAAGGGACCCGCAGCTCTGGCATTCTCCTGCAGGGGAGACCCCAGGGTCTCCTCCTTTACAATCGCAGAGTATTTCACGGGCACGATCCCCTTTAATGCTCCATGGTGTGGGAAGTAAAAGGAACCTCTTGGGTTTTTGAGTTGTGTTTGATTTTGGTTTGTGGGGAGGGGTTTTTGTTTTTGTGGTCCTGGACATTGAACTGAGGGTCCTGGCACTGAGCTACATCATCAGCCCCCCCTTTTTTAAAAAATTTTTTCCCATAATTTTATTGATAAATAGTAATGAGACAGTTTCAAATCAAATTGGTAGGACAGTTTCAATAATTCACACATTGCATACATTCTTCCTAGTGGTTAATTGCTGTACAAGATGCGGACTTGATATACTATTTACAAACACCATTAGAACAAATCACTCTATTCATTAAGAGAATGTAACTATCCTAACCACTTTGAATACACAGATACAAAATGGACATTCATCTGTATCCCCTTTTTTTTGTTAAGTTACATTATTTGAATATTATAGGTGTGTAAACTCAGTAAAATGTTCTAAAAGAGTCCAGTAGCCCATAATAGTATTGGGTCTTCCGCTTGACTGGCAATGTCAGAAATTGTTGACCTGAGTCCCCTACAGCTCAACATAACAGCATGACTTTACTTCTTATATTTCGTTTTTATACTTTTCTGCTGGATGGTTAAGACCAAGGTGAGGCAGGACCTATGCAACAAGAGTTGTAGCTTTTGGGTGTGATAAGGTCAGTGAAATCCCCTCAGGATTTATCCTGAGATCCTGTACCTCAGATTGTAGATCCTTTGTCAGTGTCAACCATGTGGATGAGTCACGGCCATTGCTTGGCCAATGTGCTCTCTGTGAAAGCCTGAGAGAATGTTTTCTCTCCATGTGACTCTCCTTAGGCCCACTCTACATCATCGATCACTTTCCTCTTTGGCCCCATAATCTCCTTGATCAGAAAATTTGGGACACTACCGAGTTACATGACATTACAGTGCAGGTTCTCATATGTCCTGAGTCTTAATTGACCCTGGAAGGCTAGGGCCAAAATGTTGGCTTTCCTTGAAGCCCTCCCCCTTTTTATTTTTTGAGACAAGGTCTAACTAAGTCACTTAAGTTGCCCCAGCTGGGCACCAACTTGAGCTCCTTCTGCCTCAGCCTCCTGGAATGCTGCTGGGTTCCAGGTGTTGCCACCATACCCATTTGGAAAGGATGGGGTTAGCCACCTTATCTCCAGCTGTGAGGTTTGGCAGAAAGTGAATCTTCCCTGGGAGGCGACTGTTAGTGATTGCTAACCATTTTCTCCATTTTTACTAAGACTGGCATGATTACCTTCTCTTGGATGGGACTGAAAGGCAGAGGGAGGGTATATCAGCTGCCCGAGTCATGGGGACCCAGGCTTCTGACCTGTTCCTTGGGTCCTGGGGCCAGGACTGTCACCTCAGGGAACTGACATAGGGTCTTTGGGAGATAGGGCCGAGGACGAGTCCCAGAGTGATGGGGTTGTGTGGATCAGCTTAAATACTGAGTTTCTGGGAGAGTCTGGAGGGTGAGATGGGGCATCCCTTGGGTCTCTGGGGAGCACTTCGGGTGCCCTGGAAGGCTGGCTGGGTCTTGGGACCAGTGGAGGCCGGGGTGTCACTGTAGGAGAAGATATTCTGACACGGTTTCTTTCCCCCTAGTCCTGACTATTGGACTCCATGCAGTACCCCAGAGCTACACAACCTTGTCTCTTATTTTTTGAGATGCATTGCCAATAAGATGCCAGGACTGACCTGGACCTCACAGTCCTCTTGCCTCAGCCTGCTGAGTAGCAGTGACTACAGGCACACTCAGCTCTCTGGCAGGGCTTTTGTTTTGTTTTTGCTGTACCAGGGATCGAACTCGGGACTTCGTGCTTGCCAGGCAGGCACTTATGCTCTTCTGGAAGGTTCTTGAGGGACTCTGACGTTGGAAAATGCCTGGCAGAACTTTTCAGGGAGCCTTGATCACATTTCAGGGCAAATGGAGGCGGGAGTCACCTGAGAGGTATTTGGGGGTTTCAGTAGGGGAGCATTTTGTTGCGATGGTGAGGCTGGGCATGGAACCCAGGGCCTGCACATGCTAGGCGAGAGCTGCACCCAGCTCCAGGCCCTTGCGGGGCGGTGAGAGGTGAAGAGAGCCCTGCCTGACCCTTGGTGTTGTGATGAGCAAGAAAGCAAGGGCTGTTCAGGCAGGCTGCAGGGTGGGTGGAGAGGCTTAGGGGAAACTGAACCAGTGTTAGGGCAGTGCTGCCAAGTGAGGGGCCTTCTGGGGGTCGCTGCAGGGTCTTTCAGGGGCTGGGTAAAGGAAACCTTGCCAGAGAGGAATCACTGAGGAAGTCAGATTTAGGGTGATCTTCACCCCTCCCCCACCCTCCTCTTGGGAGAAGCACTCCCTTCAGGCCCCAGGAGCCTCTGGCTCCTGAGGAATCTGGACCCTGTGGTCACACAGTTCCTGTGGGTGGATCCTGGGCACCTTGGTAGCACACAGTGGATGTGCAGATGGATGGTCTGTCTTTGGGGCACAGTAACTTTATGCCCTGTGGGCCTCAGTCACTGTTTTTGTTTTGCTTTATTTTAGCAGAAGAGGAAATATTTATTGTACCTTGTGCTTGCCCGGCTATTGCACTTAATTGTAGAAAACTTTCACGTAACTCCTTTCTTAGAAAGAATCACAAGAGCCAGCTGTGGTGGCGCACACCTCTAGTCCCAGCACTCAGCAGGCTGAGGCAGGAGGATGGACGTGAGTTCAAGGCCAGCCTGGGCTACATAGCAAGACCCTGTCTCAAAGGAAAAAGTCATGAAGAGGGAATTGCCCACTTTATGAAAGTTGCAAATTAATAAAAACATGGTGTCGGCAAGTACCTTGCTATGTTCAGAGCTTGCTATAGCTTAGACATTAGCTTCTCAGTGTTCAGTCAGCTGCAGTGGCAGCTGTGTGTCTCGCTATATAGATCTCATCCTAGCCACTTGTTTTTCTTGCTTTTCCCACTGAAGAGACCATGAGATGTGGGACAGGCAGTGATCTAACATTAGGCATGTCCAGGACTTTCTCAAACTCGACGGAAAAGGAAAATACTTAAGCATTGGAGTATAAAGACACAGTTGCAGACTTTGAAATGACATTGGCAGCAGTCATGGTGAACTGGAGAAGCCAGGTGCTTGGGCTGCTTAGGCCAGAGAAATAAGGCTGTGGGCTATAAGAAGGGTTTGGCCTAAAACTGGCATCAGTTCTGGCCTTGGTGACTTTTGCGGGGTGGGCTCTCACTGTGTAGTTCAGGCTGTCCTTGAACTCACGAGGTAGCCCAGGCCGGCTTCAAACTCAGAGATCCTCCTGTCTCAGCCTTCAGAATGCTGAGATAATAGATGTGCGCCACAGCACCAGGTATCGGTAGCAGGTTTTTTGTTTTTTGTGTTTGAGACAAATGTTAATGAAGTCTTAAAAGTATTCTTCCCTTTTAAAACCTGAAATTGGGTAACACAATCACTCACAGGCTAAAATACTGTATGATACACACATACATATTTTTCCTGCCACATGTTGGTTACAGAACATCCCTATTTTTTTCACTTTCAACTTTTTATTTTATTGGTACATTTTAAATATACATAATGATAACATTTATCATAGGAAGTTTGTACCTGTACGTAATATATCTTGCTTCTTTTTTTCCCCTTTTTTCCTCTCCTTAGAACCCTTTTCCCCTATTTATGAAAGCTTTGTTTTCCATTTTTTCCTCTGTTCCTTTTTTTGTCCCTTCTTTCCCTCTTATCCATCCCTATTTTATTTATTTTTATGTATGTAGGACAGGATCTACAGGGTCTCACTACATGGACTGGCCTTGCAGTGATTCTCCTGGTCTCAGCCTCCCAAGCACTGGGATTACAGGTGCACTCCACCACGTGCAATCTCAGTGGCCATCTCAGCACATCCTGGGGGCAGGGCCCGCATGGCATGCTGGGGATTGCACCCTGGCTGCTGCGTTCTGCCTAAGCAGGTGCTTTAGTCTGCTGAGCTATCTGGCGGGCCCTACCATGCCTATTTTAGAAACACCTTAACTGATGACGTGTGGTGACACATGCCTGTGATCCCTGCTCTCTGGGAAGCTGAGTCAGAAGGATCAGCATTTTATTAAATGGGCAACTCTGAGACTTTTCTCAAAAAAAGGGTTGAGGTATCACTCAGTGTGAAGACCCTGGGTTCTGTGCCTTTTACTGAAAGAGAAAATCAAAACAAAACCTACCTCATCCGGGTGCAAATGCTAATCACCACTTGTCAGCACTATGGGCTGACTCAGAAGCTATGAGACACCAAGAAGCCCTTAGGCCTCAGGTGAGCTGTGACCACAGGGGCTGCCAGTGCAGAAACCAGAGCTAATTTCAAAGCAGCAGCCTCAGGATGCAGAAAATGACATCAACAGTGATTACCTATGACCAAGTGCAGGGGTGAGTGGTGAGGGTTTGCCCTGTCTGGGGTTGTGGAATTCTCGGGGCTGCTGTGGGCAGTGGGGGCTGCCAAGTGGTCTGAGGCAGCAGGGCCCTTGGGGAGGGCATTGCCCCCCAGAATGGTTCCTGGGGATAGGGTAGGGGCTGTCTTTGACCTCCCGAGGGGAATCAGAGTCTTGGGGGACTGAGCCACTTGCATTCCTGTCTGGTGTGCTCCATGGCCTGACGGTCCCTCGGCCAGAATTGCTAGCCTGGGATGGGGTCAGTAAGGTTCACCCCAGGGCTCACTCCAAATCTGGAAGGGGGAAAGAGCTACCAGACCCCATGGCTAGTCCCACCTGCAATGGGAACCCACTGGGTCCTGCATGGGACTGAATGTCCCTCTCATTAAAAACTGAACCAGGCACACGTGACACAAGCCTGTGATCCCATCACTCGTGAGCCTGGCAGGAGGGGCCTAAGTTTGAATCCCATCTGGGCAATTTAGCAAAACCCAAGTCTTAAGATGGGCTGGGGTGGGCTAGGGCTATAGCACATTGGTAGTGCACCATTAGCTTGGAGCCCCAGTAACAGGAAGAAAAGAGAAATAAATGTTCTAGCCAAGGTGCCCGTAGACCTCAACCTGCACCCAGCACCATCCACCCCTTAACAGCCAAGTGGGACCCTGAATTTGAAGAGATAGCATCCACAGCTCGGTCCAAGTGTGATGGTGCATTCTCATAATCCCAGCATTCTGGGAGGCTGAGGCAGGATTTCAAGTTCAGTCTCAGCCTAGACAACTTCTGAAGTACAGCTGTGTGCAGAGTCCTTGGGTCCATTCTCCAGAAGTGCAGAAAAGAACCCCAGCTGTTTGCATTCAGATCTTGTCTTACATCCTGGGCCTCATGTCCTCCTCCGCGCACCGCAGCTGCCCTGATGAACTGCCCACGCTGGGTGTGCAGAGGGCCCTAGTGGGCACTCATTCAGAACATGGGCTCCTGGCTGGAGGTGCAGGGTCACCTCAGCAAGGGGGGTCCCAAGGACGAGGAGTGCCGGAACCCTGGCAGCTCTGTGTTGCTGAGGTGTACATCCCTGATGGGTCCCCACAACAACTGGCTTGCCTCAGGAAGCCCGCAGCATGAGGAAGGAACCCGTGGCAGGCAGCTCAGTGTCTGCTGTGCAGGGCCCTGTGTGTAAGGGGCCAGCGTCAAGCAGTGTGGCAGGAGAAATGGCAGAGAGGACAAGCCAGCTGGGGTGGTGAGGCCAGGGCCATATGGGTGACAGCCTGGCCAGCTAGGTGCCAGGGAAGTGACTGGGAGAGCCACTGGCACCAGGGGAGGGGCTGCAGGGGCATCAGGGACCTGCAGGCACTTGTGTTCTGGCCTTGAAGAATGGGAAGACCTGAGCTCAGGTCTGGGAACTGAAGACCTGGGTTCAAGTCCAGCCCTGCAGCTTGTAGCAGTGGGACTCAACACAGCTTTGGAGAGCCTGAAGCTGGGGCCTGAGCAGCTATTGGCCTCTTGTCTTGCAGGCCTAGTCTCCTCCACCTACAGCCTCGTACACAGGCCCCCAAGCTCTGTCTTCGAAGGAGTGGCCAGGGCTGGACGGTACACATTCACTGCAGGTGAGTGGGGGGAGGGGGGAGTTTTGGGGGTGGATGGGGGGCGGGCCGGCAGAGGTTCCAGGCTCTGCCTGGGTCCTGCCATTTGTCCTAGTCCTAGGAGCATGTGCTATGGCTGCCACTTCTCCCTCATCCCTGCCATCATCCACAGTTAGATACTATGGGCTTGATGTCACCAAGGACAGGCACCAGGCAGGGTCCCAGCAGCCATGGGGGCAGGGGCGGTGCTGCTCAGATGCACAGTGCCCAGGAGCCTTCCCCAGCTTAGTGCCCCTCCATGTGCCACAGCCGCCATCGGGGCCGTGTTTGGCCTGACCTCCTGCATTAGTGCCCAAGTCCGAGAGAAGCCTGATGACCCCCTGAACTACTTCCTTGGAGGCTGCGCAGGGGGCCTGACGCTGGGAGCACGCAGTAAGTGCCCACCTGCCCACTACCTCGGCCCCATGGGGTGCATCACAGGGAAGGAGACGCTGCCTCAGCACAGCACATGGGGATGTACCCCTTGTCTGTCCTGTCCCAGGGCCTTTGCCTGCACTGTGTCCAGGCTTGGAGTGCTGCTCCCCCATCTTGTCCACCCTGCCTTATAGGAGGATATTGGCCACGGAGAAACTGTCCCCTACCCTCTGGCCTTGAGGGCAGAGAAGTGCTGGTCCCTGCAAGGCTGCCTGTATCCCAGTGCCCCAGAGTATGCAGGGTCCAGAGCTCCACCCTGAACCTGTGCTGGCCGCACAGATGTGGGAACTGGGGGTCACCCAGGAGCAGGTGGCTTTCTCTGCAGACAGCAGACCCTGGTACCCCATGCCCCGTCCCCTGGAGGTAGTCTGATTCAGGGTGGGATGCACCAGCCCAGGCAGCAGGGGAGAGCCCGAGATGCTACAGTGGCTTTTCTGGGGCTGGAGCCAGGCGGGCTAGACTCCTGCTTCAGAGGCCCAGGCACAGCCTTCCTGGTATGCCTCAGTTTCCCTGTCTGTCAAGCCCACGGGCAATTGAGCAGTTTACCCTTCCCTGAAGCACAAGTCTGGCCAACTGAAGTCCAGGGGTAGGGCTCGCCCCCACCCCACTGCTCACCCCCACCAAGTGCCTGACACCCCCCTCCTGTTCACAGTGCACAACTACGGGATTGCTGCTGGCGGCTGCGTGTACATGGGCGCAGTGGCCGCCCTTGTCAAGATGGGCCAGCTGGAGGGATGGGAGGTGTTTGCAAGCCCCAAGGTGTAGCCCTGCTGCCTCCCGGAACCAAGACCAACCTGGAAATAAACTGTGCGTGTGCGTGAGACAGCGTCCCAGAGTGCCCTGTGTCTGTGCGACTGAGAGTGCGCCATGCTGGTCGGGCCACAGGCCAGCAGGCAAGGAAGACAGGCTCGGGCGGGGCCGAGATAAGATGCACACACCCAGGGAGGTGAGGCTCCTCGGGGCTGCCCTGGCTGCAGTCTGTTCTGGCAAGGTCAAGGGCACAAGCAGCCTGGCCCTGCACTGCTAGTGGCATCAGCCAGACCGGAGCAGCCTTGGCTGAGTGCACCCAGTCCCTGTGCTATGGCCTGTTCCCGAGGCAAGCAGGGGCCTGCCGGGGGCCACCAACAAGTGGAAACCTAGCCTCACCGCCCACGGCCCTTGTCATCTCAGCCAACACTGCCGCAGGTCGTGGGCCATCCTTTCTGGGCCTGGCCCCAACACCAGCAGCATGTGGAAAACACTGGGCCCCACACAGGGAGCCGGCTCCAAATTCCTGAGCGTTGGAGCGGAGAGCCTGGGACAAGACAGCACAGTCCAGCCTGGCCCCGGGAGCCCCCGACCAATCTGGCAGCCCCTGGTGCTTTGGCTGGGACATCAGGCCTAGGTGAGGCCGATCAGGGAACCCAGGGGAGCATCTGTCTCTGCCCGACCCTGCCCGCCTGCTGTCAGGCGAGTGATTTAGGTGGCCCAGGAATGCTGGCGACGCTCTGCTCCAGCCCCCGGCTCTTTCCCCAGAACTGGTGCGGGCTTCTTGGCTGCCAGGAAGGAAGCAGCAGGCTCCAGCCTGCGTCATGGCCGTAAATCAGGTCTCAGCCCTGCCCAAGGGAGCTAGGCTGGCACTGCCACCGGCTCTGACCCCTTTTCCTGTGTCCAGTCTCATCCTGTCTCACCTGCCCTCGCTAGGAGCCAAATGATTAAAAGCCAAACCCGCCAGCTTAGATTAACCAGGCATACGGGGCTGGGACCCCTGTCCTGGCCCTGCCATCTGCCCTGACCCTCTTCGTGACCCCTGCTATGGGGGCACAGCATCACCTCTAGGGCTGGGTGTCTGAGCCTGTGAGCAAGCATTAAGATGAAGGCTCCAAGTTCTCCTGGCTGTGTCCTCCAGGGTGTTGGCACCTGAGCCTCCGCTCTGCTGGCTGGCAGGTGGGCAGATGCCTACCCCTTCTGGGCATAGGGGGCCTCTGGCCAGGCTCTCACATCCACCCAGGCCATGTGCACCGTGGCCAGCAGGGGGCACCCCTCACCACAGCCTGGGCTGGGCCCACGTGGACAGGAACAGCATGGGGTCCCGAGGTCCTGGGTCTGGCCACAGGAGTCGGGTCCATGCCTTGTTTACTGCCAGCCACCATCTTGACACCTTTCCTTGCAGTCCACTGTGCCGATGGGAAGGGTTTATCTAGGGTCCCTCCAAATAGACCTGCCTGGCTGCCCCTGCCACCCGCAGACCTGTCCCTGCCCAGGGCACAGAGCAGACCAAGGTCCAAGTCAGCAGCAGCCCTCCAGCTTGCTGCAGCTTCTCTGTGCTCAGGGAGCCGGCAGGGTCTCGACTCACCGCCCACCCAGCCTTTTCTGGGCTGCCCGCCAGGGCTGGAGCTGCTGTCCAGGCCCCCCAGCATGGGGCAGGAGGGGGTGGCTGATCACCAGGCTCTAGGGAGCCCCAAAACACAGGCCCCCTTGCCCATAAATATTTACTAGGTTGTGAGGAGCTGACATCATCTCTGCCCCATGTGGGGGGCCCTGTCCAGAACATCCAGTCCCCCCAGCCTTCTGCCCCAGAAGCCCCCATAATAGGGTGGTAGGGCCCCTCCCAAGGTCTCAGGAGCTGGACAGGCTGAGGGGACAGAGGCCCAGCAGGGGCTTCTTTAGGGTCTGGGGTTTCCTGTAGGGGGAGGGGTGTGCAGGATGAAGATGTTTCCCAGGTGTGCCCAAGGGGGGACAGCCCAGGCCCCAGCAGGACAGCTCAGGAACACAGGCACCACCAGGGCCCCCCAGTTCTTTGGGAACCAAGACAACAGCAAGATGCCAAAGGGGCCCAGGTCCCAGTAATCCCTCTCCCACCCGCAAGGAAAGGATGCAGAGGGGAGCCAGGCCTAGTGAATGCCTGTCATCCCAGCGCTCGAAGGCTGAGGTAAGAGGATTGAAAGCAAGTCTCACCCGAAAACTCAGCACGACCTGGTCTCAAAACATAAAAAGATGGGCTGGGGAGATGGCTCAATGGAATAAGCACTCCCCTGGCAAGCACAAGGGCCTGAGTTCAATCCCTGGTTCTGCAAAAACAACAACAACAACAAAAAAACCATAGGGGGTAGCCCAGTGTGAAGACCCAGGGCTCCCCCCCAGTGCAGAGGCGAGAGGGAGGCCCCACAAGGCTTCCCACCTGCCAGGCTGGAGCCCTCTTGGCGTTATTCTTTTACTATTATTAGCAATTGTTTGGAAATAAGTGAGTTATTCTTTGAAAGAGTTCCCAAGTGCTCATGGCGATTGGAACAAAAACAAGCCAAAGGGAGAAGAAAGGAGTTCTCCAGCCAGGAGATCCAGAGCCCTGAGAGCTGGTGGAACCATCCCCACAGGTTCCTCTGAGGAGCCCAGGGGAGGGCGGGGCAGGTGGGGCTGACTGGTGACTGCAGCCCAGGTCCCATCTCCTGCCCTACAAAAAGGAAAAAAAGCTGCCTGTGGACAGCGAGTGCTTGTGGGGCATGTGAGCTTAGAGAAGGCCCCTCGGGGCCTCTGTTGTCAGAATTGGTCTACATTTTTGGGCCGGGGAGATAGCTCAGGAATAAGGGCTTGCCTGGCAAGTGCAAGGTCCCAAGTTCAATCCTCGATACCACAGGGGAAAAAAGAATCTGCCCACATTTGTCCTTCAACTTCCCATCAGCCTGGTACTGAACTCGTGAAGCGGGCTCCACTCTCACCATGCTGCCTGTCCTTCCCTTGGTAGCCACCAGAGGGCGCCCATGAGTACTAAATCAGGACCTTCCCTTCTCCCATGAGCCCTCTCCACCTCTGCTCCAGCCAGGCCGCAGGCTTCTGTACCTTGTGGGCCCCCAACTCCCCCATCCTGCCCCGGGCCCTTTGCACAGCTTCACCCTCTTCCTGGAGAGCTCTTCCTCAGCTGTCCCTACAGCTTCTGCCACATCCTTTATGTCCTGGCTGCAATGTCACCTTTTGCCATCCAGTGAGCTGTGCCCTGCAACCCTCTGGTTCTAGTTTTGCTGAAGCCATAATCCAGCTTCTAAACCTCACATCACTGACATCGGAAGTTGTCACACATGTCATTTAGCAGAACATGTACCTCCCCAGGGGCCAGGCTTGATCCTCACTATTGCCTACGGGGCTTGATGGACACGTATATGGGACAGATGGATGGATGGATGAGTGAGAGGGTCGATCTCCAGGACAAGCTCCCGTGAGGCCACTGCCTGCCAGTCCCACCCTGCAGCTGATGGCTGTGGGGTCAGAAGCCATCTCCACCCTGAGAACTCTGAGCTGTGTGCCTGCACCAGGTGAAGCCTCAGGTCACAGTCACATCAGCAAGCACAACAGAGGGGTCCCTACCTTTCTCCAGGGCTCAGCATCTGAACAAGATGTAGTAAAAATGAGCACATAAAGCTAGGCATGGTGCTGGGAGGCTGAGGCAGGAGGATCAGGCCCTGTCTCAAAAATAAAGGCTGGGGGGCTGGGGGGCTGGGGAGATGGCTCAGTGGAATAAGCACTTCCCTGGCAAGCTCAAGGACCTGGATTCAATTCCCAGTTCTGCAAAAATAATAATAATAATAAAAACAAAAAAATAAAGGCTGGGATGTAGCTCAGTGTGAAGGCCTTGGGTTCCACCTCCAGTGCAGCAAAATCCTGCACACAGGGTTCCAGCAGAGCAGAGCAGAGTGGGGAGCCAGCAGCGGTCTGGGTGGGAAACACTGGGCCCTTCAGGCTGCATTCTACAGCCTCGAAGTCCAATGTCAATTTGGTCATTGCTCCAGGGGCAGGAAGTGAGGGGCCAGGATTTGCCACCTACTCACACCCCACCCCCAGCGTGACATCCACATCTCACAGCCCCGTGAAGCTGCTGTGGCCCTGGCTGCAGGTCATCTGGAGCACCCTGGCACCCCTGGGGCCACCAGTGAGACAGCTACTTCATGCCGTGAGGAAACAGGCACGGGCAGCCCTTGGACTCCCCCAGTCACTCTCCACTGCTCCCTGGACTCCTTAGAACCTGGGTGCTGAGAGAGGCCTGGCTTGGCCCCCAGTGCCACCACTGGTGCACAGGGGTCCCCGGAGCCAGCCAAGGCCCACCCAGCCCCCAGTGTCCCTCTGCACAGCCCTGACCTGGGAGGAGCCAGGCCAGCTCCATGCATCGGCCCCTCTGAAGAAGAGAATCACAACCTCCCCACCTTAGTTTTAAAAGCCCTACAGGGCTGGCGAGATGGCTCAGTGGTCTAAAGCACCTACTTGGAACAAGCTTGGCAAAGCACAGGGACCACAGTTCGATCCCCCAGCACCACATGCCAGCCAGCCCCGCCCCCTGGTGGGCTGAGCTGGCCACACACACACACACACACACACACACACACACACACAATAAATAAATGTTAAAAGCCCTATAGACTCATTTTGCCTTCCCCCCCACAGCAGTCTTCCTAAAATATATAGCTTTTTTTTTCACCCCAATAGGTAAAACAGACCCAGGCCACACGGTTCAAAAGATCCCCAAAGGTGTTTAGAAAACCTCTCAGCCCTGTTGCTGCCCGCCGCGGCCAGCCAGCCCGCCCAGTCTCCCGGTGCTTTGTGCCAACATGGAAGTGCCTTCCACCCCGAGTTTCAGAGTCCTCAGTGTGACTCCCTCCAACAGTCCATCTTGGATTTCCTCCTGTCTGGTGAACACCTTCCTCCTCCCGGCAGGTAACACGCTGTCCTGTGGCCAAATGCCCCTCGTGGTAAAAGCAGGCTTCACTGCCACACAAAGTGTCCTCTTTATCTATGACGCTGGGGACTGAACCCAGGGGGCACTGAGCTGGAGCCCCAGCTCTTTAGCTTTGAAATA